AATATAATTGGAGCCGTTATTATCCACAGATGGAGAAAACAGAGAACAGTGGTGAACTTTCCAAGGAGCCGTCAGGCTAACCAAATAGCTCCAAGAGCTCACCAGATCACAACAAACTCAGAACAATATCCAAAGCACTGCAGGCCTCAGTTACCACAATTCATTTAAACAGATTCAGCTATCAGAAAGAGACTGACCAAATCCATAGAGGCTGTCTAATCCAAAACCCTCTGCTGACCAGAAAGAACACAAAGACCCATCTTATGTTGCTCCAGCAGTTATGGTTTTGTACAGAGTTCAGGCTGGTTTACATAGCTATTTTCCCCTTAAAGACACAATATTATGTGTTTTCCAGCCACATGGTATCATTTCATAGCACAATCAAATAACTACGTTACCTTCAGTTGTTACAAAAATATCAAACATGACTTAAAATAAATTTGACTTTGTAATTAACGCCTTGGAATTGGGCTTCTGCTTCTTTAAAAATCTCCTGCTCTTTCTGAAACTCTGCCGTCAGGAAGTAACCACAACACGGCTCCTCTTTAATAACGTTTCTACCAGCGTTTCACTGAGAAGTAGCTCCTATAATAAGCTCAGCATTTTCACCAGGTGTTTGCTGACTGCTGCTGGCTAGTCTGAAGGAGCTGAGAGGGGGACTAAATGGGAGGGCTGTTCTGTGAGATGGAATGATTGGAAGCTGCTTTTCTTTTTGATGAGGGAATGACATTATATCATGATGTGAAACTAAAAAAAAAAGGTCAATTTTACATACTGTTGCTTTAATCCAGTGGTTCCCAAACTTTTTCTCCCGCCTCAGCTCAATTTTACTCAACTCAATCGGTTAGTTTGGGGGGAAAACTGTGCAACGGTCTTTGTGTTTTGCTGGTTTGCTGCCGTGATTCTAACACAAACCTACGTAGCTCCGCCCAGCAGCAGCAGGTCTCCTTCACAGGTGGAAACCCAGCGCGAGCGGCGTAGCGCTCATGTTGCGTTTAAAGGCGGCTCGGAAAAACAGGTTACAACATGTTAACAACGGATTAAACAGTTTTAACTGCTGATAAAAGTAACAGAGGACACAAATATGGAAAGTGTGGAAGCCTCTACTGTATCAAATTGACATAGGAATAACAGAGTTGGCTATTCTAAGGTAAAAACCCAGCGCATACAGCGTTCGTTTTTGTTTTTTTGTTTTTTTCATCCAGACGGCTTCCCGCACGCCCCCTGCAATGGCACGGCGCCCCCCCCAGGGGGCGCGCCCCACCGTTTGGGAACCTCTGCTTTAATCAATGAAATCATTACTTGAACTCTCCATTCTGAATCTTGGTCTGACATAAAGATTTGTTTGGTGATCTGAAACTTTTAAATAACAAAAACCAACCACAAAACAAAAAATAGCTTTTCACAGTCCTGTATCTCTTGTGAACTTCCCCTCTTCAGTTCTCTGTGTTTCGCGGCATAACGTAGGTGCTGCTGCAGCGACCCCGCTCTCCTGCTCCTGTGCTGTCAAACATGCTTCATATTTCCCAAGAAGGTGTGGGGAGATGTGGAGCCTGGACTGGAAACGCCTTGTCATTCGATTGCACACATTCCTGTGCTTGGCTCCTACTCCCTTGAAGCCTATTTATACAGCCAAAGAAGAGGCCCCTCACAGTTAAAAAGGGGAGACACACATCCTGAGCCGTATCTTTTTGATTTACATGAAGACTCACCTACAAATATGATCTTCAAAGGTACAAAACAAACTGGAAGTATGGTCAATAAAGGTATATTATAGGAACTCAGTCGATAGAAGGCCAACCCCAATCAATCAAATAGATTAAAGGTTTCATCTGTTCAGGTATGTCTCTCTAGTAAACCGTGAGCACAGAGCCTGAGCTGTGAGATCTAGAAAAGACACAGAGCTGAGCATTTTTAGTTTACTGATGAAGTGCTACAAATAACACAGGTCATGCTCCTCTTAGCTGATCACTTGCCTTACAAAGAAACAAAACTTTTTTCCACATTTTGACACCATACAACCACCAGCTTTGATTCATTTCACTGACGTTTTATGTGACAGACCAATTCAAAGTAGCATAAATGATTTCTGCTTCTCAGATATTTCTGCCAAGAAAAATGGGAAACCTGTAGTAACTTAAAGCAAGTCTTAAGTTACTACAGGTTTTCTCCCAGGATTAATTTTTATTTAGTTTTTTCAACCTTTCCATCAACTGATCATCTTAACCCTGCTGAAAGCATCCCATAGCATAAGACTGCCACCACCATGTTCTACTGTGGGTATTGTGCAGTCCACAACCACAAACACAAACCATTTTGGTTTCATCTGACCAGACACAATTTTAAATTTTCCCATAAAATGTAAAAGATTTACGGGTTAAAAAAAAAAAGAAGAAAAAAGTATGAATTGAAAACCATTCATCCCTTTCCTTCCACTTAATAATTATGTCCTACTTTGTGTTGGCCTATGGTATCAAACCACAGTAAGATATTTAAAAGTTTGTGGTTGTAATGTGACAAAATGTGAAAAGTTCAGGGGGTTTAAGGCTCTATAAATGAAGCATCACTCTGACTGGGTAAATGTGCCAACACTGGGTGGAAGTTCCCCAAACTTCAGACCAGGTGCTCGACTTGTCAACACAGGGGTAGCTTTCACCATCTGGCTCCCTCCCAAATCACTCACTTTATCTGCAACAGTCAGCTTGCGAGGCTGGATCTGGTTCTGGTCAACATCAGCAGCACTGCGGCTCCCGGGCCGATTCACGTACCAGAGGTCAGCGCAGGCAGGTTTTACTTCATTCTCTTTAAATGTTATCAAAACAAACAGGTTTTCCTCAGCAACACATGTGAGATTCAATATTGTTTTATCCAGACTAATGAATGGAAATTATTTTAATTCTTGGACCTCATGTTTTTTTATGGAAAAAAGCCATAAAAGAATCTGCAATTTAAAGAGACATTTTTAGTGTTTTCACTCAACAAACTTCACTTTAATAAAAAAATTAAGCCAATCAGAAGAGTTGTAAATTCTGCCTCAGTTATATTGACATTATATTTGTAAATTGCTGGTTGTGTGTTTCTAATAATATCACTTTAGAAACAGAGTGTCCTCTCTGTAAATGAAAAGCCTCTGTTGCAACAATGTTTTTGCTAAACTAAACACAAAACTCATGGGAAAACAAGCTACTAATATGACCTGGAAATGATTAAATCATTAAATTATTTTTCATTAGCACTTCCTAGTCCTATGAAGTTAAGATGTTAACAACTTTAATGTAAAGGGAAAATAAAATTAACTCCAAAACTTAACACCAGTGGAAACTTGCAAAAAGCTGATCAGAAGTGATATGAGGGGCTCGAAGGTAGATTCAAATATAACAGACTCACTGTGTTAAAAAGTAAAAGGATTTTAAAAGCAGTGTAAGGTCTTAGTCTAATTACCCTCCAAATCCTTTTAAAAATCTGGGATATTTTATTTTCATACGTCTATTTTTGTTAGAGAAATTAGTCCAGGTATTCACGTACGATAACATTTATCATGAACTGACTACAAAAAGAGGACTGTTCAGATGATTCTGCAAAAAATTTCCATAACCATAAAACTTTTAAGCATTTTGTTACATTGCAAACACAATGGTCTATGTGACAGTAAGAAGTGGAGAATTATGAAGTCAAACAATTAGGTTTATCATCCAGGTTTGTGTGCACAACCCAGAAACTCAACTTCAGTTTCATAAAACAAACATATATTCAAATGGAGGAAAGTGATTTTGTTTAATGTTTTCCAATTACCTTAAAATGTGGTACATTTATGTTGAGCTTTTTTAGCCTGATACTCATCTGTTCTGCAAAGACCAGGAAGATATTGCAGAAAACTAACACGGTACATCATCATTATGGTGAACAGTGAAATAAAGTGAAATGAATTAAAGCTTGTGGTTGTGACATCAAGACAAACTTCAAAAATATATGAACACTATTGTAAAGCACTGCAGCTGTGAATGGTCCGTCACGTCACACAGACACTCTTTCCCTAAATCGTCATCCCAGATGCTTTTGATAATTCACAGATTAAAGTCTCTCTCATCTTCATCACCCTTGATTGAACAACTGCTTTGTCCCAGAAGCAGCTGGACTGAGGAGTCATCTGACCACAGAACAAGTGTTTGCTGTTTTTCCGTGCGTCTGGGGTCAGATGGTGCCGAGGACTCGGCAGCAATGCAGCACAGAGTTGATAAACGCCGTCTCAGGTTACATTTTTGGATGCACTGATTGAGTGTGCTGAGTGACAATAGTTTTACAAGATGTTCTCAACCCTATGCAGCTATATTAATCCCAGGTACATGACATGGTTTGGGGTTTATGCGCATCTAAATGTCGATTTCAGCCTTAGCCTTTGTGTATCATTGGCACCCTGGACGGGTTTCCTACTTTTGGGCACATATGCCCTCTACGAATGCCCCATACGCAAGCAAACACTGGCCTTTAATGAAGTACATTTTGCATAAAACAGTATTTTTATCATCTAGCTCTAATTGTAATCCAGTTCAAGTTTGATAAGTATAACATCTGGTCAAAAACCCATTCATAGCACAAGACATGACTGGCTTCTTTCCCCACAGTAGTTTTTGAACCAGCTCATTTTCCAGATTCCAAAAAATGTCTGGGTGTTTTTTTCTTTTAAGCCATCGGGAAGTTTTTAGAAGCAGTAGAGACCCAAAGCAATGGAAGTACAAAAATGTGCAAAATGTGAATTTTGCATAATAGGTCCCCTATAATCCAGTTCTCCTGGAGATGAAGGTAGCTTTAATTTATGATAATTGGTTAAAAGGTTAAATATTTTTACTGGTGACATACAGAGAAACCATTCTATGGTGAAGTAATGATATAATTTTACATTGGGAAAAATATAATTTAAAAAAACCTACACTAGAATTAAATACCTTAGACATGAAAACCCGGCTGCAGCGTAGGATCAAGAGAATGGTGTAGCCGCCTACCTGACGAGTGGCAGTGGGTTTCCTTGAACTCTACACTCCAGACGAATGGGGCTGCCTTCAGCCACTTCCTGACTCTTCAGCTTTTGGAGGAACTGAGGTGGGGACAGGGGTTCGGATGCCGCTGACGCTCCAGCATGTAGGTGCCTCTCTGAACCCCCCTGTCCCATCTCCGGCAGGTTATTGTGTGCATCCTCTTGTTGGCCTGGAGGCAGGGAGGAAGTGGAGACCAAGCCTGGAGGGACGGTCTGCTGGCTTCTTGGAGACAGGTAGCCACTGTCAGGAGAGGAGGATTCCTCCTCCACCTGCTGAGCAGAACCTTTGAAAATGGATGACAGTTCCTCGATGAAGGTGGCCGCTCGGCTGCAGAACTCTGTGACTGAAGCCGCTCGGTCGTTCAGCTCCAGGCCTTCGTGAACCAGCCTGGGCTTGTCTTGCTTGTACACAGGCTGGATGGGCTTGTGCCTTACAACCTTCTCAGCTGAGGACAGAGCCTCACTGGAGATCTGTACGGGTTTGCTGATGGGAGAAATCTGGTTGGGGGAAACTGAAACTGCTCCATTGTCATCAGGGCAAACAGCTTTGGTCTGGTGGTGAAGGTTTGGGCTTGAGTTGAGGTTTTCAGTCGTTTGAGAGGGCACAACAAGGGGGGAAGGGACAGATTGGAGAGCCTGCTCCAGTTGTTTAAGACTAGAGGGGTCTTGATCTTCACATTCGTCCGCCTCGCCGAAGGCCTCCCGGGCCAGGTCCAGGCTAAGATTAATCTCCTCCGCGCTCAAGAAGGCAGTCAGATCTGCAAAGTCCCCGTGTCCAGAATCCAGCTCTGTCGACGAGTCAAGGTAAAGCTCTCCGTCGGAGGAGGCCTCAGAAAACACACCCGCATCGCCCTCTGAAGTCCCACCTGCTGCTGGATCCTTGAGCAGCACTGAAATGGGGAGTGGTTGATTCCAACTCCCGTCCTGCATCCTGAAAGACAAACATGCCTCATTAATCAGCCCGTTTTGGTTGTTTATGGTGCAGACAGAAAGAGGACTCGCTGTACATGACATATTCATCTGCAAAAAGGCCATGACAGCAGGTCCAGTTTAAAATAAAGACTTTATAATACAGTAGTGTATCATTCGCTCAGACAGCCATAGCTGGCAGGGTGACTCAGGCCGCTGCTGTCTGGACACAGCTGGTGGGTATTAACAAAGGTCTTTACTCAGGTTCTGGTCCACATCGCTGACATTTCTCTGTTGCCTTGTGTCTAGCTCAACATACAGTCATCACATCACTTAATACAGGTTCCAGAGTCATTTGCATTTATTGGTAAGGATGTATATAAAAGTCTTAAAATAAAAAAGTTGTTGTGCAGACTCGGTGGCCCTTGCTGCAATTCTTCGACTTTCGTCATCAGAGATGTTTTTATCTCACCTGCCAACATTAACTGGAGTCCTCGTCCAGCCTTGTTTGTCAAAGTTCAAGTTGTTTTAAGCTATTGCTTTGACGGTCAAGTCATTTCCTGTGATTTACTGGGATGGCAAGTTCTCTTGTCTTGCCCATTTTGATGAGACACACTTATACATGAATAACTGAAAATTCTCAATTTCCAATTGACAGTCTCTGTCCTCATCAACTTATCAAAGTAAAGTAAAGGCACAGTGGTGTGAATGAGTATTTGTCCCCTTTTTGCTCTTGCTTTTATCTATTTCTATTTTTTGGTGGCAGTTCTTTTTATGTTTCACGTCATTAAACAAATTTCAGCATCAAACAAACATAATCTGAGTAAATGCAAAACGTTATTTATTTTTATTATCACATTTCCATGTATTAAAAGGGAAAAAAATAATATCCAAAGCATACCAGCATGCCCACATCTGCATGGCAACGATAACCAAAAAGGAAGATTTTGGTGTGGTCTAGTCAAAGTCTGGACTTAAAGATGTATTTATCACAAATTAATAAATGCATTTAGTTTATGTTGAACAACATAAACATCAGGCAAATGCTTTAAGTTTTATTAATCCTATTGCATTTCTTTCTTTTTCAATATAATTTCCTTTTGTTTTACTTTTGAATGAGCCACACATGCATTTGATCTGAATGCCTTGGATAAATATTATTAAAACTAGATGAATGGAATGGAAACTGGTGTAAAATGTTATTTCATAAACCAAAGGTGGAGAAAAACAATAATTTTAAATATAATCCAAGCATGCATATGGAGCTAATTATAAGTTACTCTTACAGCATTATTAAACTTTGGTAACGACGTACCAAGCATTGCTTTTTGAAGTCAAAATGGAGCAGATTTCCTCTGCTCTTTGAGTTGATCTCCTCTGAGTCTGAGCTTGTGAATAATATGCTGCGAAACCTTTGGACTTGATACGCGGATGATGTGACGCTCAGAGCCTCACGGCGTCCCGGAGACCAGCTGTTGTTATTTATAATCCCCTGCGGCTCTGTTTCACAGCAGCGCCGCGGCCCCTCCCACCCGGAGCAGAAGGAGAGGAGGCCGTTACCTCCAAACGCTCACACAGGTATCAGTGGAGACATTTTCACAAACAAGCAGAGACAATCACTTTAGAGCGAGAGCGAAAACGCAGAAGATTTCCACAGAATCGATTTGTCTAAAAGGAGAGACAACAACTGCACAGATCTGATTCAATGTGAACGTGGAAAATCTGTGACAATGATCGACATAATCTGTCTTTTATGTTTCATTTTGAAAATACTGTGTTTTGTTTGTGCACTAATTAGTAAGTATATGCATGCTGTAAATGCTAACACATTACAGTCTGATCATTTGATATGTTGAAGGCAAAGTTATACTTCAAAATAAGAGGAAATTATAACCTTGGAGTAACCTGACAGAGAAGACAACCACTGATGTACAGAAAACAGCTGTTTGAAACACTTTACTACACAATTAAATGATTTAAGCTGTTTGACAAACAACTAAGAAACTAGCCCTTAAAATATGATTAATTTAAAAATCTATATTTACCTTCAAGTGTCCCTGTGTGGCTGAAGGTTCTTCCCTGATTCTCCAGGTCCAGGTTTGTCTTGTTTATGTGGGAATGAAACAAAACTAAGCTTCTCTTCGCTATCCCTTGCCTTATTGGTCAGACAGTCAGCAGGATCTCTCAGGTTCAGGGTCCAATTGCATACTGCAGCTTGCTGCTGTCCCATCTGTGCTGGTCCCTAGCTGCTCACTGTGTGGGGCTATATTTGGCCCCTGACTCATGTTACACAGCCAGACTGCTGGCAAGAGGACAGAGTATTGAGGTGGTCCTGAGGAACAGAAGGTGACATTTTCTGCACTGATCTGGTATTAATTAAACACAGTGGGCACAGACAATCGTAACGTTAGGACATCACACGTATACTCTGCTGCTATAAGCTTGTAAAGCTGGGAGCAGGGTGGGGCATCATGACTAGCTTTTGTCTTCTTATTGCGCCTGAAAAGACAACAGTGTTGCTTCTTTCTCCTGCTGAGTTGACCCCATGACCCCGACCACTCAACTGCTTTTATTTTTCCCCAATAATCTTCACAATCTAGTTGAGGTTACAGTTCAGGAAAATTTTGTTCAAGTTTTTTTTTTAAGTAGTATTTTCAGCTGTCTATCCATCCAGTAAATGCATTTTTCAACTTTCTTAATCGTCCATTATAAAATAACACCTCTGACCTGCGGTCAAACCGTCTGTCAGATAGTCAGGCTGTTGGGGGCCATACAGCCTCACTGGGTCTATTTCTGGTCTGCTATCACATTTTGTGCTCCATGAGCTATTCTGGTTCTTCTTGAATCTACTGATTACAGTTAAGTGAGGTGATAAGTCCAGAAGGATTTTTTTTTTTTACTGTCATCACACATGCCTGCTGTCCAGCAACTAATGAGCAACCTGGAATTATCTTTGAGTGTCAGTCTACAGCAATCAGCTCCCTGGGTAAGGTGTCAAGAAATGACTGCATTATTCAGGAGTTACTTCTTAATATAGTATACAGACATAGTTCTGTTTTCTGATGCATGTAGAGTAGAACTGGAAAATTTCCAGCTTTCCTTTGACCATGACTGTAAACTCCAATATCCTACAGTGCTTGGCAAAATATTTATACCTCTAAAACATTTAAAGTAACACAAAGTAATGTTAAGTGGGTGTGGAGGATATTATATTTTAATTTTTCTATTTAATTATAGTTTTAATATTAATTAGATAGATTAAAGCACACATGAAGAAAAAAAAACATGTCTACCATTTTTCAGTTTAAAACAAGGCTGAATAAACGTCAAAAATCTACTTTCATTAGTTAATAGTTCACAGTTATGCACTACTTGGTCTTGTAGTCTACCAAGTAGTACATTACTTGGTGAAAAAGACGTTAAAGATTGTAGTTTTTACATAAAATCAATGTGAGAAAAGTTGAAGGAACGTGAATACTTTTACCAGACACTTCGTCTCAACAGTTCTGCTCTATTTACGAATCGAGTTTTCGCTGCTGAGAATGTTTGTCTCTTCGCGCCTCCCGTTGCTCCTGCTGTGATTGGTGGAAGTGAAAATATGGCGGCGTCTGTGCAGCTGTAAAATAATAGAAAGGAAACCTAAAGTAAGACTCTTGAGACGCTTTATAGAGCTCAATGCTGTCCTTTAGCTTTCGCCAGTTTTAGGAAACGGGACGGTGACATAACTATAATGACTCTCTCTCTTTGCTTTAGCTTCTCGAGGTTGCTAACCAACCTGCTAACAACACAGCATTTCACCAGTGGAGCAGCTCCTTAAAGGTGAGTGAAGTAGCAGGCCAGCCTCTGGTTTTGTTCGTCGTTATCCTAATTAACCAGCTGTCAAATGTTACGGCAGCTTGCAGCCATAAACATTTTCCCAAACCGATTCCTTTTATGGTCCGAAATTGTTGTAACTTCATCCCAATTTATTCTTCAAATTCATCATTTTGGATTTTCATATCACGTCGATTAAGTGTAGTAGAAGTTATTTTGTCAGTTTCTCAACAGTGACCTGGGATTCGTACACAGTGTGAGAAAATAACTGGAAGATTGTGGAAAAAGAAAACTGAGCACTGGAAAATGCTTGTATTTTCCTAAAATGTGTCCTTTGCCTTATGATGTTCGTGAGAAATTGAGGCGCAGCATCCATTCATCTGCCCATCTTTTACTCCTTCCATCTATCCGTCCCCTTTCAATATGTCAATTTGTTCCCATCGATCATCCATATATTGAATTGTTACCAATCTCTCTTTCTTTGTTAATCCATCCACTGCATGACAAATTAAAACAAACTCAATAATTTTCATTTATCGTTTTTCCTTTTTTTTCTCTTTTTCTACCAAAAACTGGATAATAAAAGTCTTCAGTCTGGTGCTTTGGTCTCACCTAGCCCTTTTTTTAAGGAAAATATTGTTTAATTAATTTTATGTGTTGTTTTGTTTATTTATTTTGGATATTTAGAATGTCTTCCAGTCCCAATGATAAATGCTCATTATAATTCAAAGTTTATTGATCTTTGAGAATGTGTTCTTGACATTATTATTCCATTACCTACATCTTACCTGAAAATGGTCACAAAACGACAATGTTATCGTTTACCACACTAACTGCCTATTTACACATAGCCCTGAAGTTGAATGCAACATAATTGGTATATTATAAGAGAAAAAAAGTGTAAGTACATATAGTTAGAGCAGGTAGGCAGTAAGAAAGGCCAAATTATCCTCTTTTTTCCTCTACAAACTACAGCACTAAGTTATCACTGGATTGTGAAAAAACATTAAATCCTGTTTGTATTTCTCCACCTTTCCCAGCTAACATCATGCCAGCTTTCCGGCAAGTGGGAGAGAAGCAACTTCCCAACCCTGTGAAGTGTATGGCGTGGTCTCCTAAGAGGGACCTCATTGCTTTGGCCAATACAACAGGAGAGGTGGGTTCAAACACAGAGAACGGCTGAGTGTAGGACTTTTAGTGTGCAGTAGTTTTATTTTTTTGTAACTCTAATAACTTTCTGCAGCTGCTGCTTCATCGCTTGGCAAGTTTCCAGCGGGTTTGGAGTTTGGCTCCCAGTGAATATACTGGGAAGGAGATCACTGCGCTCACCTGGAGACCTGATGGCAAAAGTAAATGATGGTTTTGAATATATTTACCTGCGTGTCTGATGAAATTATGTAAACATTATGGTTTTGGTTTTTGCTTTAATCGGCAGTTTTGGCATTCAGTCTCGGAGACACAAAGCAGGTGGTTCTGTGTGACGTCGAGAAAGCGGAGATCCTTCACATGTTTCCGATGCAGAGTTCGGTAACCTGCATGAACTGGATGGAGGTGGTGGAGGAGAACAGGTGCGGCCCAGGTTCACGATACAAACCAGTACGCGTGTAATCTGGTTAGAAATGTGCAAATGATTTTCGTTCGGTTTCAGTTCCCTTGGCTCCTTTTATAACTCCGAGGATGAATCCAAGCTTTTCCTTCCTGAATTACCAACACTCCCCAAGAGGTAAAAGCACTGAGTGTTCATTCCACCGCAAGACTGCAAGTTTATTTTGAGCTAAGTAACATGATCCAAACTTTTCCTTTCTAGCTACAACACTACTTCAAAGATATTCAGGTGAGATTTAAATGATCGATTTTCTCATTTGGTGTCTGAGTGGAAGCTGAATGTGTTTATCCATCTTTGCCACAGTGAGGAAAAGTCAGACGAGATCCTCAACCTCCTCGGAGAGGTTCGGTAAGGGCTCCTTAGTGGATATGAAAGATTACGTTTTTGATTCAATTGTTAAATCAATTTGTAATTTTCTCTTGCTACCCAACAGGCTGAACATCCTTGTTCTCGGAGGAGATGCTGGATGTGTGGAGCTTTATGCATACGGGATGTACAAAATTGCTAGTCTTGGCGAGGTAAGTTTTTTTTGGTTGTTGTTTTTTTAAATATGGTTCCTTATCCTGTCCAGTGGTCAGAGGCTGATATAAGTGGACCTCTCCATCAAGTCATATATTTATATACTGGAGAAAGTCATAAAATACACAGGATTTATGCTCCTGCAAAAATATGAATGGCTTATAAAAATGGAAAGTTTTTTATTATTTTTTTTACTCAAGATATCAAAGTAATTTGTATTGTCATAGTTATAGTTTTCATAGTTTTTACATAAACTGAAAACTGTTTACTTATAATAAAATGCTGTGATTTTTATCCATTTTTCTTTCATAAAGTCAGAAGAACCAAAGATATTCCTTTCAATAATCGTCAAGTTATTTCACTGGGTGAACTTGGCTGGTTTTTATTTTCTGCAGGTGTCGGGATCATGCCGCAGTCTGAGTCTGTCCAGCGATCTCAAGTCCCTGTCTCTGATCACAGAAGTCCAATCCGCTGATGGCGTCTCGGAGATCTGCTACGTTCAGGTGAGCCGGATCCCATCACACCATCGTCTTCATGGCCTTCTTCTGCTCTGACCTGGATTTTTTCTTTTTTTTTTTTATGTCATTGATGCCGTGTGACAGCTGGACACGAGTTTGTTGTCGGACTGTCTTCCAGAGGTCACAAAGATGGCCCGCAAGTTCACCCACATCTCCACGCTGCTGCAGTACCTGCACCTCTCACTCACCTGCATGTGTGAAGCCTGGGAGGAAATCCTGATGCAGATGGATCTCCGTCTCACCAAGTTTGTTCAGGTTTGTCGTTAAATACTCTTGTGAGATAAAAGTAATTGCAACCTGTGCTAAGACAAACTTGTTACAAAAGTCTATTATATACAGAGCAGTTCAGTTAATTTAGGAATAAATTACCTAAAAACAAAAACGATTTAAAATCACACTTTCTTTTTAAAAGAGCACTGAAATCTTATTTTTTATTAAATACAATTTTTTATATGAGTTCATGTGTTTAATATGTATAAACTCTGACTAATTTTGTGATTTTATTTTAGTGTCGACATGGTCTCATGTGCTGCATGAATATTTTTGGGTTTTATCAGTTGGACCCCTGGAAGCTTAGTAACTACTTTGATGGAAACTAACAGGGATCCTGACAGATAAACAAAGAAACAAATGCTGTTTTTGTCTGACAAAAAAAAAAATTAAGGGATTAAAGGTTACAATACTTCCACCATAAAAGGACTAAAACCCAGTTGTTGATTCTTTTGTCCTTGTAGGAAAAGAACACGAGCACCCAAGTCCAAGATGAGTTTTTGGACCTCCTGCTGTGGGG